AAATGGCTAATATCTTATTGCAAGTCATTGCGTGTCTCAGAACGTGATCTGAATAGCATTAATAGTAAGTGGTTCACAGTTATTACAGTATCAGGTAAATTATATAAACTCACAGACTATACAACTGCTTACGTTAAAAAACAACTTAGGATGCTGGTTTCTTTGAAGAAACACTGATGTTCATTCTTATCCTTAGACACGGAATATGCTGATGATGAATTTTTATGAGTGTTGTTGTGTTTCCTGATCTGTTTCTTCCTCGTTTCTCTTGCGATAGACTTAACTACTAACTAGCTATCTGACGAAGTTCTACACGGTTCCATCACAGTGGGTGAATAATTAACGGGCCCTCCACGTAACATGAAGTTCCTAGGTGTGACCTCCAATGGGGTCATCTTGTGCGTCGGTAGTTCAGCGGTAGAGTGCTCGTCAAACATGCATGTAATCCATGATCCTATTCCTGACTGAGGACCTCCTCAAACTTGCTTGACGATTGTAATGCTAGTAAACAGGAAGGATTCGAAATGAAGCTAGTAAATTCATCCTATAAAAAGAACCACCATTGCTCCTGAAACTCCAAAGTTCAAGCTTGCAACCCTACGTTCCACCAGGGACTCAGAGGTATAAAATAATTCCGTCATTTGGAAACGATCCATTGGTTCATGAATCCTAGCTTCTATCAACTTCGTGATTCTAGCGCACCCACCGGTCTATTTCATCGGCGAGTATTTTTTCTCTCTTCCAACCTAAAATACTCCACGAATTCTCACTGAAACTCCAGGAAAATTCGTTCTGTAGCCTGTAAATAGTGTACATCAGGTTAATTTTTAAGAGTTGGTATGTAGGGATCTGATTTGTTTTTTAAGTATGACCAAGTATTGATATCAGTTAGAGAACAACTTAAAACTTCCAGTGAGTCCCTGATAACTGTATCGTCCTAGTTTGGGACTCGTCGTCAGCACACACCGATCCAGGAGCTGAATGGTCTATGGGCTTGCCTCGTAAGTGGAAGGTCTCAGGTTCGAACTCTAGTGGGTGTGCACAGCCAGTGAGTCCCAAACTAGTACAAAACAGCTATTCAGTACAACCTGATAGTTTCCAAGGTCTCTCTAAATGATATCAATCCACGATGAAACTTGAAGAACGAATCAAATCCTTACCAACTAAATCTTGAGAATAAAATAATAAAATAAAATAATGCGCACCAAAGGCAATTTGATAAGATTTTCTAATGTTACATATCGAATTTTGAAAATCTGTGATGTAAAGGCGAATAGCACATTTTCGTGTACTGCTACTAAAATGAAGGTAATAACAAGCTTTTCTCAGTAACACTAATCGACACTGATGAAGGGTCTCAAACCAGGAAAAAACAACTGCCTAGTACACTATAGTCTTCAGTAATCCTCTAAATGGTGTCGGATCGCGATCCACTTAATAAGCTAGTTAATTCCGTAAAGACCAAAAGCTGAAAAACATAACACTGACAATGCCAGACACTGAATACCTGATACAGCGAAAGAACTACGGTTTAAATCTAGGTAAGGTTAACGACCCAAAAGAAACACCGAATCCAGACAGTAGTGAAAAACAAAACTGTATTGTTTCCGCTGTCCTTTGGCCATCAAAGAAATGTTCCTTAATCCACACTCTTCAATGGTAACTGATATAATACTATGGCAGATATAAACTGTGTATGTAGTTGGAACCATACAGACGGCGCATGTGTACTCAGTAAAATGACTTGTCTGAACTAAAATTAAGTGGATTTCCAACGTAGAACTTTGCAAAGCAGTCCAAGTTCTCACACAGCATAAGACCACACACATGAATTTAGACAAAATACAAAGAATCTATAATAAACAAATGTTTATAGGCGAAAGAAAACTAATGTGGAGAATAATGAGGATGGCATCCGCAGTATTTTGAATAATGTTATCAACAATCTCCAGCCACTGGAACTTAGAGTCTGGATGACTCCTGTAAGGTAGTCAACACCCCGCCACTTGGCTCAAACTAACAATAAAGATCTTCAATCTGACCACCGCAAACTTATTTACCACCTATGCCGACATCAAATAACATTACCGGTCGATTAAGGTGATGTCTGGATATGCAGAACACACTTCCTAACTAGTTGACACAGCTCCACAAAATCATTGCTTCATTTTCTCTTTTTACCTAACATTAGACCTAACCTTACTAATACTGACTATAATATAACACTTAACCAGAGAAACTGCAGGGCAGAAACAGTCCTTATGTCCTCCACTTCCAAAGATCGTGTTTCACAGCAGTAAATATTGGTGAAAATGACTACTGCATGGTACAAAAAACATTCATCCATGAATATCCGGTTATGATGCCTCCGCCAAGGATGATGCAATTTGTAAAATGACAAATCAGTCATTTGTATCCGTGCTAAAATCTCGTCACCATTCATTGGTTTTTTACTAACCTTCCTAGCGCTTATAATTAACACGCTTCCAGTACTTTTATGCAATGAATTCAACAGAGTATTGTTGTGTTTTTACACTTCACTAATTGAAGCTGAATTTCGAATAATCAGAGGGAATTTGAAAATATGGGGAGCTTCAAAATTATTGATAATAATAATGCAACGATTTTGGATGATACCGACAAAAGACAGCCTTAATTAAGACAAGAATAATAATAATAGACGTAATAAAGTATAAGTTAATTCGAGGCTGAAAACTTATTGATGAAACTCAATTCATGCTATCCCAGTCTTAAATTCACTACAGAATATGAAAAAATATGATACTGTTAGATTCTTAGACATTCTTCTGATGAAAAGAATAGATGGCACAGTAGGAAAATGGATGTTTAGAAAGCCTTCGTGGATAGGACGGTATACATATATACCTTAGGAGCTGTGTTCACACCCACTATAAAAGGAAGCTAGGAAAAAAACTGTTCACGAGAACACAGCAAATCTCTTCCAACAGTTGATTTAAATACGAAACGAAGGATACATTATCGAAGAATGGACAACCCGAGAGGTTTGTCAGTAAGTATTCTGAAACTTAGGATTCAACAAAACAGTTTAAACCATTTCAAAGAAACCTGTGTCTATCACGTTCCCCAGTGGAACATAGGGCTTCAAGCTAGTGGCTTCAAGTTTCTGTAGCAGTGGTGATTATTTCTACAGGATGGAGTTGCTAGCCTCGTGCCCAACCTTTCCTCTTCGCCAGAATTATTTCTGGCTTAGCGAGGTAAAGGAGTGCGCCGGCCGGAGATCGAACCCCGGACCATGTGTATGGTCGGCGAGCGTCCTAACCGCTGTGCCACCGACGCACAATATCTGATCTAAAAGACATAATGCACAAGAAATAGTCAAACAGAGGCTTCATAAAGTGATAAGGAAAACTTATTATGCTGCAAAATTCGTCTTCACAACATCACAAAGAGGCTACTTCAACGATCTAGGAAAGACTTGTAACCAACCCTATGCACTTTTAACCGCTGATATCAACTTGAATTCATTTGTAGAAGTAAACATGTACTGAAACCAAATTACCAAGACGACGGATAAAAGAGAATCTTTTAGATTACTGACAAGACGTAGACGCTATCAAGTTATCAACATAACTTAAAATGTAGACCGTTTAGCTTAAGATTTTTTTTGAAACCTGATGAATTCATTCACCCAACCCGATTTCATTAACCACAATTTTTGCGTGTTTCATGAACCAAGCTTTGCCGACACATAATTGAAATTCTACCATATTCCTTAACTCCCACTGGTAAAACAGAGGTAAGATAAGAAATGATTACACAGATTGTGACAGCATATCTATATTACACAAAAGATTGAGCGAAGAAATATTTACTTTTCAATTAGATCCTCTTCTCTGGCTCTACTCTAACATATATAGCATTTTACAATACACACAATATTAAGCTGTGTAATAACATGAACATATTTATATATTTAAAACAGGCCAGGATTAGCTGGCTCTTATAGATTCCTTCAAACCAAATTTCCAGTCGTTTCGATAAGTGAAGACTCTGTAATTAGCTCAACAAGACAAAGGGAACACTAGATGAAATAATTCACAACGAAAATCCGTACGTGAGAGTCAGTGATTCATTCATATAATTCACTAATTACAAAACTTGATAGTCCGTAGGCAAAAGTAAATTTATGCTTGAAAGCTCGACAAGTAGTTCGTGTTACGGCCGTTAAGTGAAAGTCCAGTTTTCAGATGATTGATCTTCAACAAATATCAGATACATTTTTGATAATTTTAAGTCATGATCGTTACGAAGGGTTTGATTCATCAAGTACACGTTTGTCTCAACCGAGACCTTAACTAAATAGTTCAATATCTTCTTAACATCGAAGTCAAAAGAAACCCATGATCTATCAACACTTAAGGTAGTGAATATATGTGAATAACTTTTCCTACAACATTTTACGAATACCTCTAAGGATAACCTTAGCGGATTTTAATGAAGAGAATTTAACATTCCGGAAAGATTAAGCCGGAACTGTTCCTTTAGTACGAATTTATACCAGGCAAGTTTTCATATGTCAGCCTGAAAAACACCTAGACTTCGAGGTCTTAGGTCAGTGATTACTAACCAATAACACCATACGTTGAGTGTGCTGAATGCGACCATACAAATGGTTTCATACAAAGAATGAGAATTATTCATAATAATAACAATAAAAGACACAGGTATTATGACACAGGTATCAGGCGTCGGTAGCACAGCGGTAGAGTGCTCGCCAACCACGCCTCACGTGGTTCAGGGTTCGATCCCCGGCCACCGACGCACTCCTTTACCTCGCTAAGCCAGTAATAAGACTGGTAAGGAGGGAAGGTTGGGCATGAGGCTGGTTAGCAACCCCATCCTGTAAAAGAAAATCACCACTGCTACAGAAACTTCAAGTCTTTAGCTTGAACCCCCCTATGTGTCCACTGGGAAGGTAAAGGAATAAAAAACATTTATGAAACAACTTCAAATCTTACCATTATCATATTTGTAGTTATATTTAGGACAAGGTTTGAAGAATTTCAAGCCATCATTTTTATTATCTTTGATCAGTGAAACTGTGAGAAGAATAAGAAGGAGAACACAAGAAAATGGTTACATTTTAAAAAATATGTGTACAATTGAAGAAATTTTTAAAGGAAAAAACTGAAAGAACTGCTCTTCTTATATGCCTTTTCTATCCGCCTACAATGAGAATATGTATAATTTAAAGTCTTCAGTTAATCTATTGTTAATCATAGTCTGTTATGCGTGAAATATTTCCCTTCACTGTACACATATTGCCAACTAGGTGTTAACTGCTTTGATATCTTTCCCCCCCCCACACACACACATGTCAGAAATATTTATGACTTGTACCTATTGAGTGGATAGAACACGTCCCACATGCCCGCAAAGGTTGACAATTGAGTTGATATCATTTCAGCGATTTTGCATAAATGGTGTTGTCAATTCTAATTCATTAGATAATCTAACTATTGGCAACGTATTAAGCAGCATGCATGTATCTATCCCTCTTATCAGCTTTCTGGGTATGAATACTGTTATTTCGAATATTTGTAGAGGTATGGGATAAGTGAAAATAATGCCTCACGCTTTAATGTATTGTTCTGCCTTCACCTCTGTACCTAGGCCTCTTTTATTAAAAAAAGCTTGATGAGTCACAAGTACAGTACTGGATTACCAAGTGGTTGCATTTCCATTTTTCTGATAGGAAGTAGTACTCTGTTTAAAATGGGAAGTCCTCCACTACTTCACTTACTTTAACCGGTGTTCCTCGAAGTAGTGTCCTTCCTTCTTTTCTTTTTTCCTTGCTCTAACAAAACCTGCAAAATTCTCACGAAGCCAAGTTTCTTAAGTACGCCGATGACCTGACTGTTTCTATGCCAGCGGTTAATTCTCAGTCACACTGTTCCAAAATAAGTGACCTTCTATCAGAAATTAGTCATAGGTCCTCGTCAAATGGTCTTAAGCTTAATCCCCTCAAGTGTCACGTGGTTAATTTCACTTTTAGACAAGCAAAAGCGACTTGCATGGACTGATTATTTCTCGGGGTTCCACTGTCATAGATGGCACTGAAGTTGAAACCAAATCGAATGTAAAATACATAATTTGGACTCTGTATTTCCTCTGACCACCTTTCCTTGTCTTCTCACATCATGCTAGTTTCCAGAAAGATACTTAGTTTGACGTCCTATGTAAGGAAGTGAAGACGTTCTGGTGTCATTTAGTCAGTCTCTACTGTTACAGTTTGTTAATTCTTGTGGTGTTCTGCCTATACTTCCTTACTGTCCCCCCACCTTCATCTTTCCTGGGCTCCTTAAGGAAGACCTTGTTATACTACGTACAGCCCTAAAAGCCATCAGTGGGTCGAGTGGGGTGTTGCTAAACCAACTCGTTGATACTATTGTAGATAGATACTTGTATTCCTGCAAAAAATTAGCAAATATTATCCTGTCAGACTGTGAACATCGTCTCCATACACAACCCTCTCCTTGCACCTCATCCATCAGGTAGAACTAGAAGCAACTATAGAAGACTGTATGCTGGGATGACTCAATAGAAAAAACTCTACAATACCCTATTTATTTGATAAGCAAAGTATAAGACATGAAATTACCAATTTACTGAGGAACTCTAAGTAAACGATCTTTTGTTTTTTGTTTCCCACTGTCACATTGTCGTTAATATTTTCACTTGATTTAGTTTCATATTCACTTATTTTTGAGAAATATTACTAATGTAAATTAATATTAATGCAAATGCCCTATTTTAATTAATGGCCGTGTAATGAGAAAATTAGATGCCATATTGTATAACTTGCTGAAAATTCCATATTTGTACTGAATGTATTGTTTGGAATAGAGCTATTATTAACATTATTAACTGACCTTCTACTTACTCTTTTTGCCTTCTACATAATTCTTTTAGTACTTGTCTGCATGCTCTTTCATTAACATCAAATTTTTTCGTATTACACAACCCCAGTCAAAACCTTCTAGTCTTAACCGCCCCCTCCCTACAGGTTACAATTTTGATTATTCATCACATATGCTGAATTATTTTGATGATATAAGCAATAACCAAAACTAATTTTTATTTTTGTTTGAGAAACCTAGTGTACATACTCAGGCAAAGCTTGAAAATTCTCAACTTAGTCAAACCATCGGTCGTTTTGACATTTATAAATGATACGTAGATGACACTTTCGTCATCAGCGATGAGAAGGTAATTCTTGATGACGTCTTGTTTGCTTTCAGCAACTGCCATCCTTCTTTACAATTCACCATAGAAAAGGAATCCGAACTAAGTATTCCCTTTCTTGATGTGTGCCTTAGCAGACGTAATGACGAATCTCTCAAAAGATCTATCCCCCGGAAACGTACATGGAACGGACAAATAACTAATTTTTATAGTTGGATGTCTATCTCCAGGAAAAGGAACCTAATTCATTCACTCTGCTTTAGGATAAGAAGCATTTGTAGTTCTGATTGCGTTGACTCAGAACTTGACTTCCTAAATCCATGGTCTCAGAAAACGATTACCCGAACCTATTTACTGACAGGAACACGGAAGATAAGCAGTCCAAACTGGCCGTAGTCAGAGGACGCTTTCCACACAGATACGAGAACATATTCCAGCATGGTTTCACAAGGGAGAAAGGAAATGTGTGCGAAGCTCTATTCTGGAACACCTGATCGACTTCTGTCACTCTGTAAACCCTGACCATGATTTCAAGATCATCTATTGAATCCATGCTAACTTCCCTCGTTTTCTTCGTTACAGACTTCTAAAGACAGCTGAGGCCTTGGCAACTCATGACTTTAAGCCAACCTGACCTTTGTGTACAAAATAAGTATGTACAATCCCTACTTCTGCCTTGGCCGTAGAGGGATAGACATTTATTTATTTTGTTTATTTAGTTATTCTATGTACTTTTCCCTTATTACTACGATTATTATTATCATCATTATTATATTTCCTATTCTCACTCTGAATTGTTTCCACTTTACCCACTTGTCATTCTAAACTCAAAATTATTAATTTTTATATTTTTATTTTTACAATATTGAATTCTATCTTATCAAATTTCACACCATGTTATGTAACATTTTATATTCGTCTACTAATCTTATAATTATGTACCCCTTTCCAAAATCTATACATCTTATGTATTATTCTATATATGACATTAATTTTGCTAATTGATATTTAATTATGATTATAATCACAAATATTTTAATTGCATTTCATACTATTATTATTTCATGCATTTACACCTTTGATCTAATTCCCTCACCGGATATAATTTCTTTAAAAAAAAACCATATATATATGCGATTGTACAGCTTGATAATAAATTCGTTGAAAAGAGTCTCTTAAATAAATAATTACAAATAATTGTCATAGTACAGCTAACAAAGATGAATTCGCCTAAAAGAGACTCTTCTCTAATAACTGTTTATTCTTTTACGAAACTTTAAGTCAGTCAAAAATAACTTAATTCACTATGTGAAATATCAAGGATATCGAAACACGTTTGACTGAGAGACTCCTTTGGGGGTTAGTTTCGTTCGTCATAGTAATGACTCTAACAGTCATCTTAGTACAGTTTAATATTGGATAAATTTATTTTAATAATCACAAAGTGATGATGTGGTATTAACAACTGGATGAGGTTTCGACCATAAATTATTGCTCATAATTATATCAGTTTAGTCACACGGTTTCACAATTTGTCTTACATGTATTTTCTGTCTTTCTGTCTCTCCTCCAACTTACCTTTTTTGTTTGTTGTCACTTTCCATATCTCCGGTATCATAGGGGTTGAGTCGTTGCGATTGCAGGTGAGTGGTGTTGAATCGATAAAAAAGAAGGAGCTTCAGTATTTTACCTCTCACTCTCTCTTTCTCTTCACCTTTGTGGAGACCTTCTTTCTGGCTTATTTAACTTAGCAGGGTCAATTATCCTAGGTCTAGCTAAATTTGTATGTTCCAATAATCTAACTGACTGATCCTGATCTACTAGTTTGATCTATGTAATTAGCTTCACTGTACAGTATTACATGGTATTCAATAAATTATATTATTTTTTTTAATTGTATCTATTGGGTCCTTTAGCCGACAGGAAGAGTTTATCTCTGAGAGAGTTTGTTGTTTGGTTTAAATGCCACCCTAATTCCAGTGTCACTGCGAATTCTACGTAAGGCTTCTGATGTCCCTTTTTTATACAGCAGGGCTCAAGCTCTACACTTTCATCTTACTAAATGGCAAGCGATGGTTTATTTACAATATCCATACATGTAGATAAGCTAACTACTTCTAATTGAGAAAGTACTATATTTTGCAAAAAGTTGGCTTTTTTTGTAACAGGTTTGGATTTGTATCAAAATATTCTTCAATGAGATGCCTACAATAGTTCATTTGCACACTGCATAACTTATGGGTGAAAATTTATTGAGAGCGTCTTTTGCAGTCGGCGACAATCTAGGATAGTGCTTAATTTTCTACAAACCTTAAGATATTTATGGATGATATTATACGGATCAGAAACTTGGTGAGTCACAAAGAATATTTCCAACAGCCTGTTGCAGACCTTTATCAACAACTGTCTTCGCTCTATACTGAAGATCAGATGGCCGGAAAGAATCACCAACAAGGAACTACGGGAACAAACAAAACAAGAACCAATCGCCCAACAAATATGCAGGAGAAAGTGGAGATGGATTGGACACTTGCTGAGGAGGCCGTTGGGTGACATCGCGCGTCAGGCATAGCTCGAGTGGAAGCCGAAAGGAAGTGGCGAGTGGTACGTCCAAGGATGACATGGAGGAGATCATGTGAAGAGGAGCTGAAACAGTTTGGATTAACATGGACGCAGGTGAAAAGTACAGCAGAAGACAAGCGAGTGGAGACGTGTAGTTGAAACCCTATGTTCCACTAGGAGCCCAAGGGAACAATAATAATAATAAGTATGAATAACACAAGATTGAAACACAACCATCAAAAATAAGGCCATCTCTCTTGACTAAGTTTATCTGACAAAGACAATGATCACGAACAGTTCACAAAATAAGAGTCAGATACGTAACCAAATCTGGTTTATAGTCTAATTAATCGCTGAGACTGTGACCTGGAGTTATTTGTAATCTATTGACTTAAATAGGTTTATTTATATAATGAAATCAAGGATATGCAGAAAGAAATAGAGATCACAACGACATACTCATTGGGGAAAACACTGGGTCGTCATATCACGAAAAATACTTAAATCTTCAAGGAAAAGCTAAGTAGGCATAGCCAGCGGAACTGGTGTGGAGAGAACACAGCTGGCCTTATCATTTAAAAAAAAGAATAAGTGAACTCTGAGATTTCACAGACAACATCTGTTAAGATACTAGATCTTGAAACTGATAAACAGTTTATGTGTAGGCATAGCAATTCCACATATATACATGCAAATTTCTGGTCTGTAATCTGACCGAGTCCCACTAGAAATGATGTTGAAACAATAGCTATGTGGTATTATTATTTCAGAGACTTGGCGCGTCACCGAAAGCACTTATAACAGGCTTCAAACTTTTATGGATACCTATCTTCGAAGTATACACAAGATCAGATGACTAGGCACAGAAAGGGTTAACTAGAAAGAACTCTGAACATGAACCGACCATAAACCTATTGACCGACAAGTGGAGGTGGATTGTTTACAAACCGAGGGGGCCGTTGAATGATATCGCGTGCCAGGCACGATCTCGACTGGAACAAAGAAACGGAACTGACTAGATGGGCGTGAATTCGAGAATGACATGAGAGAGATCGCGTGAGTAGGAGGTGTGAACTTATGATCAATCATGGAGCGACCTAAAGGGGATCATAAAGGACAGGTTGAAACGGAGGTGTGGTGCCTAGGTCCTGTATTCAACTTGGAACCTAAGTTATGATATTAATAATGATATATATGGAATAAACACATTTTACTGATATTACTGATATTTCTCCCATTTGTGTTGATTGAATTAATTTTCTGAGGTGGACATCTACAGCCTTACACCCAACCTTCCCTATATTTCTGGACTCAGAAACGTTTAGTAAATTAGGCGAGGTTATTATCGTTGTTACCTTTTACGAGTTGAGGTTAGTAGCCTTACGCTCACCCTTCCAACTTTTCCAGAGAAGGATTAGGAGTGAGCCAAGCAAGGAATCGAGTGCTTAGTGAACATTTTACCATTCATCCTAGAATAAGGGTGACAAAGAGGAGATCATACAAGGAGGAAGTGAAAGCTGCTTCGTGACAACACTTAAAAAGGATTTCAGAGAACCGAATGAACTCGAGCTGTGCTGTTGAAGCCTTATGCTCCACTAGGAACCCAAAGGAATAATACAAATAATACTATTATCAATAATAATAATAACAATATGAAACCTTAATAAAAGTGTATCCCCTAAAAGTGAAATAACACAGATTAATTAAAACAATTATAAATACATGTAGATATTTCCACTTACTATGTGCATACGTATGATACATAAGTATCCCTTCCAAAATAACTAAAAATGAAATGTAGCACACTAATTGATCTTTTATATTGAACAACATTTCATTTAGTAGAATGTGGAAAATTTATGTTAGTCAAGAGTTTATATATACATGTACGCACATATATGTATAAATGCCTATGCATATTTATAGTGTCTTCTTTGTTGACATGTTGATCAGGGACAGATGTTGAATTCTTATTCTTCTTTTTTTTCTCTTCATTGTTTTGTGTTTTAAACTAAATATTTGCAAAAAGGTTGGATAGATTGGGAAGGTAATATAATAGTAATACTACTAATAATAATAATAATAATAGTAATAGTAATATTAGAAATATTATTAGGTAATAGAAAATGTTGGATAAGGCTTAAAATAGAATGAACCAATCAGAATTCAGTAAATGATCGAATGTCATATTTATGGTTATAAATAACAATTTAGATGTATTTTCAAGATAAACATATATATCCATACATAATGTATAGCAATATTAACGTAAATGCCCTCAGTAATGAATGAAACTGCTTACACGTACTTTCTATAGATAAAAATATATTTATATTTTTTACTGACAAATAACTATAGCTTAATGTTTTCTTTTTTTAATAATAGTAATAATAATAATTTGCTTTATTCCAAAACAGTACTTGTGATACAGAATGGAATTCTCAGCATGTTTGCTACAGTACTGCATTCAGTTAGTGCATTATCAATAAATAGAATTCTACATAGATTAAGGAAATCTGAGTTCATTATTACAACAACATATTGGCATGTCGGTAGCAAAGCCAAAGCTGAACAGTGTTTGAAGGAGTTAGAAAAGTGGGAGCTGTCATATTTACTGGCGTAAGCGAGAGAAAGAAAGGAAAGGAAAGAAAGAAAATATTGTACCTGTAAATGATATGAGTTGGAAAGACGAGGTCCAGTTGTTCTACTGACTATTTAATGAATTATAGGTGTCACGCCTAATGCTTTCTTTATCACACAGAACACGAGCTAAGTAGGGTATGGTTGAATTTTTGTACTTGCTGGTGCGAGCATATAGTTTTCTATATAGGCTTCTGGTTTTACCTGATGAGATGCAAGGGGAGAGTTGTGAGTGAAGAGGGTGGTGTGAGTTAAATGAAATGGATTTGGCCCATTTTTCACATGAGTCCATGTGCCTGTCAACCAGAATATTAACAAGCTGGTTAAGTGTCACGTTGCTTACCCTACTGACAACCTTTAACATCCTGCGTAATATGTTATAGTCTTTCTTCAGTAGCCCTGGAAAAACTAAGGGGGAACAATAGAGAATAATAGGCAGAATGCGAGAATTAACGAATTGTAGGAGTAAGGGTTGGGTTATACCAGTATGTCTTAACTTCTTGATGTAGAAGGTAAGACGGAATATTTTCTTAGAAATCGTCAAGATATGAGGCGACCAGGAGAGATCAGCCGATAGAATGACGCCTGGGTATTTAATTTCTTACTTGGTTTCTATTTCAGTGCCATCTATGTTGCACACCTCGTGAGAGCCAACCAGTTTGTTTAGGTCGGATTTATGCCTTAAGGTGAAATTGACTGTTTGGCATTTGGAAGAGTTTAAGGTAAGACCGTTTTCCTTGGACCTCTGACTGATTTCTGACAGAAAGCCATTAAGTTTAGAGCAGTCACTTTGAAATTTGACAGGCAAAGATACAGTCAGGTCGTCAGCATATTTGACAAAATTAATGTCATTTGAAGATGGTAAGTCATGTAGAAAGAAAGAAAAGAGAAGTTGGGAGAGTACAGCACCTTGGAGGACACCAGCTTCAGTGAGCGCAGCAGAGGAGGATTTGCATTTGTATACGGTGTACTGCTTTCTGTTAGAGAAGTAGGAGTGTAGCCATTTAGTGACCCAGGACTCGGTTTTTGTCAAAGAGAGCTTATTTAGCAGGAGACATCTAGGTACAGAATCGAAAGCAGATGTGAAGTCGAGAAACGTGCAGCGGACGTATTCGGCACCTTTATCTAATGATGAGACGATACTGTTATGTAAGATGGCTGCAGCGTCTAAAGTGCTCCTACCCTGTCTAAAGGCAAATTGTTTGGGGTCTTCAAAACTTTTAAGGGAGGGTTCAAGTTTAAGAAGTACTAGTTTTTCCATAAGCTTTAGAAACGGGGAAGTGATGGCAATGGGTCTGAACTTGCTGTTTCCAGGTTTAGGGACAGGAACTATTTTGATGTCTTTCCATGCATCAGATACGACATTTTTGGAGAAAGAAGCATTTAGGATGCTATTTAGTGGAGAACATAAAGCATCTGCACATTGTTTTAGAACATAGGCAGGTATACCATCTGGGCCAAGTCAACATGAGGGCTTGAGCATTTTAAGACATTTTAGAACATCGAGAGCATTAAAGTAATGAAAGTTTTCAGCTACATGATTGGTGACATTAGAAGAAGTTAAAGTAGAAGGACAGCGTATAAAAGACTGATTAAGAGCATTAAGATCATAGGAGGGAAAAGCATTACAACGCTTATTATTGCCAGTAATTTCATTAAAAAGTTTCCACATGCTGATAGGAGATTTGCATGATAAAAGTGTATCATTGTAGATAGCATTAAGATTTTTGATTTCAGATTTGATTTGAGCATTAGTCTTTTTGAGTCCTAACTTGTCTTTGGATTTGTATAATGTTTCTTTTTGTTTGCGAAGTTGTTTGAGATAAGGAGATGAGAAGCGGTCGAGGCGTTTGAATAGTGTTTGTTTGGGACAGCATATATCAAGGCAGAACTTAAAATAATCCGTTATATTGACAATTGTGTCATCTAATGAACTATCATGGAATAAATCCCAGTTAGTATTTTTTAACATGCACCTTAGATTGAGTAAGTTGTCGGATAAGTAGCATCTTTGTTGTGCTTTCATAGACAGATGTGAGAAGACTTTAATGTGTTTTGCTGTATATTTTGGATAATTAACAGCCAGTGATTTATTTTATAAGCTCATCTGTGTTTCACTTAGATATGCCTTGGTACTCAAGCTTCCATGGCTTAAGACCGTCGTTTCTTATTCTGGTTCGACTCAAGGGCGTGCAGCGTGATGTCAGCGCTGATGCCCAGCCCATCTTCATTTTCACCTTTTATTGTGATTGCTTCTTTCCCAGTTTCTTGTTGTTAATTCTTTCTGGTCATTTGATCTTCAGTATCCAGCCAGTGAAGGCAGCTTTTGATAACAAATCCTTTCCGTGACGCTTTATCCATGTTTTCTAACCCATATGGAAGTACTAATTGACTTGAAATTAGTGTTGATTATTGGAATTTCTTTCTTTGTGCTGAGTGTGAAAGATTTCCAAACTGATTTTAGAGGGATGAAGGTCTACCATGCATTTCTAATTCTGGCTTTGACATTATCCATTCCGCCTGTAGTTGAAACGATTCCACCCAGATAAGTGAAGGAAGAAGCCTCTTTTAAATTTCTCCCATTGATAGTGATTTGTGCGGTTTATTGATAACATTAATAATCGTTCCGAATGTACTTTGTCTTCCTCTCTGTTTCATGCAAGTCGTATATTGACTTTATGCAAATATTTAATCAGTTTTTAATCATGTATATAAACGAAGCAAGAAAGTTATGTGAATAACTTGATATAATTATTAGCAATAAATTGTGCTCGAAACATCATCAGTAAATATCACTGCCTAACACTGTGTGACTTTATCAAAATAAAATGTCATCCATAATAGTACTGTTTTTTGTTTCTAATGATGGGTTATTCTCATCAACTCCGTCTTCTCTGTGTTCACGTGCTTCTTCAGCCAGTTTGTTGGTTTTCAACTGCAGGCCTTCGAGTTTATGTGACATTCGACATAAATCATTCACTTGCGAAGTCAAGATCTTCTAGAGTCTTCTTATCGGTCCAGAGTATTCTTGTGTTTGCACTCCCTGTGCACAGTCTGACGCATGATCCAGTCCACCACACTTAGCAATATCATCGGTAATAACAGGCGGTCTTGTCTACCTTACTCCTGTATTCACTTCGAACGCCTCTCTGAGTTTTCCGTTGCGGATCAGCTGACATGTGTCATTGTCATATAGTTGTGGTTGGATTAGGTTGATAAAAACTTGGACACTGCACACCATAGTGTTGGATTAGTTTCCGAATCACTTCTCGATCAAAGCTCTCTGTCGAAGGCCTTTCCGAAGTCGATGAAGTTGTGGTGTAGAGAGGTTTGACTGCTATTCTATGCTATGTAGACTGACCGAATTTTGATGCGGTTGTGTTCTCTGAGCTGGATAGTTAATCTGCGGGGCTTTCATCGCCCTACTATGCTACATCTTTAGCGCATACTTCAATTTGGTGTAAATTCTTGAAGGCTTGTGTTCCTGTTGGTTGACCTTTAGTTGGGCATTTACGCTCATTCACTCTTATTTTGAGTGATCTGGAAGTTTGACCCACATATTTAGTCGGATATTCGGCACAAGATATTTTGTAAATCACATTGTTTTTATCCATCATTTTATTGGATCTTTAAGTTGATTGATTTTATTTTTAACTAGATTCGTTGGTTTAAACGTGGTTCGAATTGCCTCTGACGTACCATTTTTGTATGGTATTGTGACTGTGATTTTGCCTTCCTCCGTCTTGTCATTCTCTGGCTTTACCCTTTTTTTATATTATCATACCGGATACATGTAACCAGGGTGACTCAGCAGCACAACTGTCAACTACCTGGAATATAATTCTGAATACACAAAAATGAATGAACAAAAAAATGAACTACCTATATATGAGTACAAATCATAAATGTGTGAATTAAAAACCAAAACTATTCCAACAGTTAGTGTAATGATCACGGGCAGTAAGTAATTTTGCTCAAAATATTACCAATAACAAAAACTTATCATTGTGTGTAAACCAATGAGAAGTCGTGAGGTCCATCCAGTCAAGTATGAGGATGGATGTCCCACCTACGACATTGGTTAGTGGTCGCGCTAAATCACGAACTGATAGAAGTTAGAATTCATCAGCCATTGAATTGGGTCCCAGTGGCTGAATGGTATACGAAATATAATCATACTTTATTTGATCTAT